AGCTACTGTCAAAACACATCCAATTATGCTCTGCTGTGGAGATTTAACACCAGAGGATGATTTTCAAAGTAAAAATAGCGTGGGATGCCTTTTCCATTTGTATATTAGTTTGGAACGAAAGGCCTATTTGTGCAATTTAAGCCAAATGCACTACAACATAATGATGCTCTCCTCAATTGCTATTCTTTATTCATGGAAAGTGGTGGATTTGTCATGTTTGTTAAATACTTTTCGGCAGGGTTTTTTAATCCAAACTACTTAATTCAATCATACTTTATTTTATATATAAAGAAATAAAGTAATTACATGCAATTACATGGGAACAGCAACACATCGATACCTTGTGCAGGAACAAAATACACTAATACATTCGCAGTCACACTGTTGAAAAAGAATAGCACAGTAAACTTTCCAACTGATGGGAGCTAACACATCAGAAATCACAGATTTCAGCATCTTAGCCCAATGCTATGGTTTTGGCCTCCTTTCTGAATAACAGATTAGTCAAAACACTCCACCTAATCACAACTGCAAATTTAACCCAAGACCAACCTTTTTCTTACTCTGTTTCGACGCTAATGGCAGTCTGCACAACAGGACAACATACTGCAAGTTACTCATATGCAGTCTGGGGGACAACAAAACCAAAGACCACTAAGATGCTGAGGAAATAAACAGCTCAGACAGCAAGGAAGTGCCAACAGAAGACCAGCACCTTACAGAAGAATCCGTAACTCCTACATATGGTAACTAAAGAAAACCAGTCAAGAGGTTTAATTTATTATGCAAGGATACACTACCAAGAAAATACTAGAGGTCCCCTATACGAATGATGAAAACCACTTTTTTTAGGTGGTTTTAGGCCTTTCACTTAGAGCTCCAAAGGAACTCTTCTCAAGAAAATACACATTTGAGTAAAAAGAAGCTGGTTGGCATGTAATTTCTGCAGATAACCGTAACAGGAGTCTGCACCACCTCCCGTGGCTGCCCAGCAGACCTCCCTCCTGGTGAAAGCTGGAAGGGAAAATCAACCTTCTTGTACCTGAACAGGTCTAAAAACGTGCCCTGCCAGCCTGGCTGGAGCATCTCTCTCTATGCAGGAATGACAGCTCCATGTGAGCAGTACTACTCTTAACTGCAATGGAAGGCAGCTGCATGGATGCTGTGGTAAATTCCCCATGCTGCACATGATAAGCAGAAGTTATTCTCATGAGATGCCATGAAATCTTGGCCCAACGGGTCCTATTTAGCCCTGTGTATCTGAGGAGAGGGGTAAGCACCAAGAAACAGGGTGCCATTTTTACAGTAACTGGTAATGGAAGTATCCAGTTTTGAGAGGACCAGATGATGTTCCAAGAGGCATCATGCATCCAGACTGACCTTCTTCCTAAAGAAATTCTGAATCTTAATATCCCCAAGAGAAACAAGACAAAACTGCCTGCTGAATTTGCTCTATTGCAGAGTCCCCTAACTTCTCAAAAGCTTTCAAAGCCTCTTCCCCCCCTGCCCCTGCCCTGCCTTTTCAAGAATTAGAAGAGGGGATATTGCAGGAGCCCTTAAATACGAGCAGACATCATGCAGACCAGGAATATATTCATAGCAAGCTATTTCTAATACTGCCTAAGGCTGGAGAAGAGAACAAGAAGAATTAGAAATATCTGCATTAACTAATTATAAATGCTTTTCTCTGAGACAGAGCAAAAAGAACATAAGCAAGGGATGGGTAAAATCCCTAATTTCCCACATCTACATTAGCAGGTAGCTGCTAAAGATCCTGTTCTACCTGCCAGGAAAAAACATGAGAAGTCCTCAGATAACGCATAAAATTTAACTATATACAGCCTTACAGCATAGCAATTTGAGGATGTCTACACAGAAGGAAGTTTTCAAGTGGCCTGGAAGGAAAAACAGTTCGATCTCCTCAAGTCAACCTTGATTATGAAACAGGGTGTAAGCAGGAAATGCAGATAAACCAGGACCAGCAGGACCACGAGTGTGGGAACAGTGACGTGCCATTTGTGGACACTGAAATTGTAAGGGACCAGCTGTATCAGCTGAATGTTCACGAGTCCATGGGCCCTGATGGGATTCATCCCAGAGCACTGAAGGAGCCAGTGGATGTTATGGCAGGACCCCTCTCAATCATCTAGCAAAGGTGTTGGGAGTCTGGGGAGGTCCCTGCTGACTGGAAGTGAGCCAATGCTATTCCAATCCACAAGCAGGGTGTGAGGGAAGACCCAGGGAACTACAGACCTGTTAGTCTAACCTCAGTTCCTGGAAAAATTATGGAGAAGATCATACTGGGTACTACTGAAAGGCATTTAAAGAATAATGCAACCATCAGGCACAGTCAACATGGGTTCACAAAGGGAAAGGCCTGTTGAACTAATTTGATATCCTTCTATGACAAGGTCACCCACCTAGTGATGAAGGGAAGGCAGTGGATTTAGTTTTACTGGATTTTAGAAAGGCTTTTGATACTGTCCTTCACAGCATCCATCTGGACAAGTTGTCCAACTGTGGGATGAGTGGGTTTACAGTGCACTGAGTGAAGAACTGGCTGAAGGGCAGAGCTCAAACGCTTGTAGTGAATGGGGCCACATCTGGGTGGTGACCGGTTGCCAGCGATGTTCCTCAAGAGTTCAATTCTAGGGCCAGTTCAGTTCAAGATGTATCAACGATCTGGATGCAGGAGTTGAATGCACCATTAGGAAGTTTGCTGATGATACCAAACTGGGAGCTGCTGTTGACTCTTGAGGAACAAGATGCCTTGCAGAGCGATCTAGATAGATTGGAGCATTGGACAATGATTAATGGGATGAAGTTTAACAAGTCCAAATGCTGGATTCTGCACCTAGGATGAAGTAATGCTGCGCACAAATATAAATTGGGAGAGGAGTGGCTGGAGAACAGCCCTGCAGAAAGGGATCAGGGGGTGCTGGTCGCCAGCAGGCTCAATACGAGTCAGCAGTGTGCCCTGGCAGCCAAGAGGGCAAACTGCACCCTGGGGTGCATCAACACAGCATGACCAGCTGGTCAAAAGAGGTGATTGTCCTGCTGTATTCAGTGTTGGTGCAGCCTCACCTTGAGTACTGTGTGCAGTTCTGGGCCCCACAATTTAAGAAGGATATGAAGGTCCTTGAATGCGTCCAGAGGAGGGCAACAAAGCTGGTCAGAGGGCTGGAAGGCATGTCCTGTGAGGTACAGCTAAGGACTTTGGGCTTGTCTAGTTTGGAGAAAAGGAGGCTGAGGGGTGACCTCATGGCTCTCTACAGCTTCCTGAGGAAGGGAGGTGGAGAGGGAGGTGCTGAGCTCTCCTCCCTGGGATCCAGTGATAGGACGCGTGGGAATGATTCAAAGCTGCACCAGGGGAGGTTTAGACTGGACACTAGGAAGCATTTTTTTACCGAGAGGGTGGTCAAACACTGGAACAGGCTTCCTAGAGAGGTGGTGAGTGCCCCAAGCCTGTCGGTGTTTAAGAGGCATTTGGACTATGCCCTTAACAACATGCTTTAACTTTTGGTCAGCTCTGAATTGGTCAGGCAGTTGGATTAGATGATCACTGTAGGTCCCTTCCAACTGAAATAGTCTATTCTATTCTAACTCAAGAGAGAATATTCAGACCACTATGTCCTCCATTTAGCTTGGACACCTCGTAAAAATTATATATAATTAATGATCCAGTAGTCCCACTGCTTTGCAATCCCCACTGGAGCAGAATACAAGACCTGGCTAAAGTCAGTGGCAAAGCTACTGAAGATGGTTAACCTCCACTGCTAGCAAGGCCAGACTGTGGTAAAGCGAGATGGACTTCTGGAGGATGACCCTCAGGGTTGATCCCTTCAGCGTAGCAAATGTGAAAAACAGTTGAAACAGTTGCCCATCAAAAAATATCGATTTTATTCCAATTAGTGTCTTCCCCTCTATGCATTTTAAGCACCAAGAGTACATGAATGTCACAGGTTCTCTCTCTCTCTCTCTCTCTCCATTTACTGGATGGAAATACTGTACCCAAAGGGCTAGACACTGATTCTGAAAAGGGATAAAAAAATAAAGAGCTAATGGGAAAAAAACCCAAGTAAATAATAACAGAATAAGCAGCTATCAAGACACTTTATTTCACTGCCCTGCAGCCATTTACTGAGATCAGAGGGTGTAATTGGAACAGCCCAGCAAAGCGGGGTCAGTGCTAATTATGAAACCCCACCCAGAATACCCAACTGCCTGAGCTGAAATAGCTTTTGCAGATACTGAGAGTTCTGAAAGAGAAGGGCACCAGCAGCACACTTGACCAAATTAAGCTCTGTTGTGACTGACTGAAAATGGAGCTACACCTGAGGCAAATTGTTCTTCCACCAATAAACCATGACTGCTTTAATTAAAGCAAACCACTGAACCACAGTTCTTATTGCCATCACTAGATGTCTCTTACTGCCCTGCTTTCTGAAAAAGTTTAATATCTTCAAACAACATTTTACCCTTGAATGTTTCGGTATAACCTTGAAATGATTCTATGATTCTATGAAATAGAAACTGTAGTGAAAGAAACTGCCTCACAAAGACCTAAGTTAATAAAAAAATGATAGCTATATTTTTAGATATCTTTCAGAATTTGCTTTAATATTACTGATATTCTTCTCACTGGTATTTAATCCAGGAAAAGGTCTTTAGGAAAAGGGAGGGAGGGAGAAGCAGGAAAAAGCATTTGCAGTTAGAAAAACAGGTCACTGTAGGAGGTTCTCACCATAAAGTGCCTGCAATTTTCTAGTGAAAATAAAACTTCTTTTTACAAACCAGTGTGCAACAGACAGATATGCCATGACTATCTTGCAAAGAATGATAACCCAAGAACTTTAGGTGGCAAGAATTTTATTTCATTTAGAACCTCAGAAGTATTAGCAAGCAGCAATGTATCTGTTGACCAGAACTTACGTATACTTTTACATTCTCTGCAAAATACTGATTTACTTCATAAAGATCCCGCAATGAGCCACTCTTACCTTACTGCAACAGCCATGCTTCCTATAGGGTTGATTGGCAATGGCCTGGCTCCAGGAAATATTCCTCTACTCAGAACTCGAGCTCCATTTTGTATCACTCCCGGAGGAACTAAAAAAAACCAACAAAAAAAGAACATTTTTTCTTTTAAAGGAAAAGGTAGAAAAATGTAGGAGCAAATGTGGAACTTAAGCTTTTCAATGAATTGAGAAAACATTAGAGGCTCGTGTAGTACACTGCTTACCTTGAACATCTCAGCCTCAATTCTTGTGAATGCCATGCTCTTTCCAAAGCTATTTTCATGGCAAAAAAATTAACAGCAACCAAGGATAACATGGCTTGTGGAAGCCACTGCCTGACCCAGTTGCTGCAGATCATTCCTTGTACAACCAAACCACTTTTGTTTTGTAATCGCCATTCTGCTGGGAATACACGTGCTTAAAGTCAAAACCATCTATGAGCATAGATGTAACTATTTCATCTACAGTAAGAAACAGCAACCCTTCACAGATAAACAGAATATAAGCACTTCACTGCAAGAACATAGGTCATAGCTTTTTATCATCCCAGCTTACTTTCTGTGCAGCAATCTCTTGGCCTCTGTCTCCTGCAAAATAAAATATTAACTACAAATGCGGCTTTACCAGGAAAGCAAAGAGAAGAGCCTAAAAAGGCATTAGCTCCATACCACTAATTAGCCCCTCTCTCTTGCCACCGATGACCTCTGTCACCCAGCCTGACAGCAGTCACGCGCCTCCAGCACATGGCCGGGTCACAGCCGAGCCTCCCCCATCTGACGCCACGTGCCGATGCCACTGACACCGAACTGCGTAGGTACTGGCCACTACAGATGAAAGATTTCACTGGGGCCTTTTAACTTGGCTGTATATTGAAAACCGCAGCTCTGGCCAACAAGATTTTAACCTACAACCGAGTACTTCTTTTCTATCCAGGCATGTTTCTGTGCACTGCTCAGCCTAGGGCAGCCAACCCCGCAGCTGAAGGAACAGCAGAGGAAGCACTACCGAGGCACCACCAAAGGAAGAGTCTGTCCTTAGCAGGTCCTCAGCATTCTCCTCCTTCGCTGTAGGATGCAGGACTACTGAACACAGTCCTTATACCAGGGACTGACATGTCATGCCATTTGTTTGCACAGCTATTATGTCCTTTCACATTGGAACAGTACCCTCCAACAGCCTCAACCCAAACTTGCTTCTTTAACATCCACAGCTAGCCAGTTCGGTCATGTTTTCTTTACTGTAAGTCATCATTCATACTGTAACTTCCCCTGATGGGGAATGTCCAAAATGAAAATGATGATCATTACTCTGGATGTATTATTTTCAAGCATAGAGATATTATATAAATACATACAAGACAAATGTAAACCACATCACTTCATGTACACCTACAAAACTTTATTTTTAAAGAAGATACAGGGAGACTAGAAAAATCATTCAGCCCAAGAATCAACACATACACTTTACGTACCCAACTTTGAACGCTCACACCTGAAAATACTACTGCATACTGAGGCAGAGAAAGTAATTATCAGCAGTACGTTATTTCTAAGCTGCAGAGGTACATTTCCACTTCCTTTCAACACCAAGCCAGACCCACAACTCCCTTGCTGCTATACCCCGATGCTCACCTTGCTTCACTCAAGACCACACAGATTAGTTCTGGGAAAATAATCTTCTTTCTCCTGCCGGTGAGAGCACATCACCCCCCTAATCAAATCCTGTCACTGCGTTATACCCACCTTTGCTTTTGAGCACCTCTGAACAATAGGTCATTTATATTTAGGTGCTTAAGTACAGCTTCAAATTGCTAAAATTACAGAACCTACTTTATAACAACTAGGGTCAGCTTTCAATGACCAAAATAATTTAAAAATTGCTTTTTGCTATTTATACTTCACTACTTTGTGCACTTTTTCCTCCAGCACTAGATTATGAGAAATCGATCAAATCTGTTTCACTCAGGGGATGCTATCAGGCTTTCAATGCTCTGATGTTTGGGTTTGTAGATACTGTAGAGGGATGTTTACTACAGGGGGATGTTAATGTAGAGGAATTACTAAAAACTCCAAAATCTGAACTTCTTACTATATTCGTTCCAATAGCATGACCTTAAGATGGCCAAAATACCAGTGTCATTAAAGAAAAGCAGTCTGCTCAAGGATATGGCTAACTTCAAATGCACAGGTAACAGGTAAATTCAAAGCAATGGATAAAGCTGCTAAATATCAAAAGATCGATAAAAAGACATCATTTCCATTGGGCATGGTTTTTCCAACAGGCTTTCAAGAGGGACAGATTTTTGTATTGCACTACACAGTGTACAGTTTACATTTACAAAGTCCCGTTAAAAGACATGAACGAGGCGTTTTGACCAAGAAAGATCTGGGAATCTTCTCTTTACTCTGATATAAACCATGAAGTTTTATATTGAAACAAAACATTTATGCATACATACAGAGCCACATGTCAGTTAGCTATGGATGTTGCCTAAATATATATACATATAAAACTTCAAAGCAAACACACTGACAGTTCTACTGCAAAAGGAGAGCAACAGGCTCCTCGATGCCCAAACTCTTCTTTCCATGGTTACCTAATTATCCTGTCTGTCAGAAAAGTTAGCTGATGCTTATCTTACCCTTCCTCCTCTCCTACCCTCTCTTTCTGCCTTATTGACAACTCCCATCTCTTCTTTAAAAATCCTGTTCACTTCCCCATCACTTCTCTCAAAACATTGTCTCACGTCTTTCCTTCTTTACCAAGTTTCCTTTTCCCCTGCACTCCTATATATATATAAAATACACTGCCAAGTCTCATAGCTTAGACTTTCTATATATTGACATTCCCACTCGAACCCATTCTCCATCTTCCTGACTCTTTGCACATTTGTAAGTCATGGTGTGCTATTCAGGAACACCCTCTTTGAAAGCTTGACATTTAAAAACATCCCCACCTCAACACACACACACTCCACATCTTCCCTTCAAGAATTAAGATCTGTTTTAAGAAAAAAGTAGAAGTTTGCTGTCCTCTGAAAATATCCCCACAGAGACAACTTGGTACCTATTCCTGCCTATGAAATTCACTTCAATTATGTCTGGTCTGTTCAGTGTGCCACCACGCATTGAAAGGCTTCGACAGGACGGACTATTCATGCCAGAAGAGGCCTTAACTTTTCTCTGAAGTACACCACAGCTCTGCATATTGAAATCACCACTCAGAATTCAGTAACTAGTTCAGCTTGCAACAGCAGTGTTATTGCTACTGATTTTTATTTTTGTTTCCCAAAACTCCCTGAATTACGATGCAGCAATACCACTACATCACTAGTTAAGTTATGCAGACAAACAGACGCAAGGGATGAACCGAAGAAGGACACCGGGTGACGCAGTGTATCCTTTCAATAAACATCTGGAACCATAATGAAAAAAAAAAAAACCACAAACCACCACATCTTGCTGGTAAATCAGTTTCTGTAGCATTCAAACCTAAAATAAAAAGCCGGATCAAAATAATTCAATGGTAGAAGCTATTAATTTCTAGTTATCCACATAACCAATGTACCACTGTAAGACTGATCTCTGCTGCTCACGCATCTCTACTTAGAGCATTTAAAGCATCAATACCCATCCTTTCCCAAAATGACACTAATTACTTTATTTTAAAAATACATATATATATAAACTGCTAATACATTGTCCCTGGTACCCAGATGCTTTCCCTGCCTTTGTGCAGGCTGTATGAAGATGGCTACTTATTACCCAAGGAATTATTTTCACATGGTACTTTTGAAGGGTTGTGGATTATTTACTGGAAAATATGTGGCGCTTTTATTCCAAAGATACATTTATGCCTTACAAGCTTTAATTAAGTTTCAAAACCATACTTTGAGGTGAGGTATTTATATTTTAGATTGAAGATTCAAGGTGTGGAGGTAAGATAATTTACTCTAAGCCATATCATCAATCAGTGCCAGTCTGGACTAACACCTTACAGTCCAGACTCCTTTTTTCTAATGCTTCTTTAACCAACAGTACAGGCAGGTTACATGGTTCCAATTCCTAGGCAGAAGTGTGAAACGTAATTTACACCTTTTCTGTGCAAGTGCCGAGAGACATTTACGTCTGAGAAACTCAGCTCAAGAAAACAATGCAAAAAGATCCGTGCATCTCTTTGATAAAGGTTTCCTCTTTCACAACACGTTCCTAGTGAAACGCAAAGAGTCTGAAACAACAAAATCATTAGTCACCTTTCAGCTTTCATCACTGCTATGTTTCCAAGGAGCCACTGGATCTCAGCCTGCTCTCAGGAAGCTTAAACTCAGGAGATACTTCCACTGGAGTAGAGTTAAACCACGTGCAGAGAATCTGCCCCTAATCTGCTGCATGAATGGGGAAATGATTTTTGGATCTTATGCTGCTCTGGTGGAATTCCACAACCTGAGTAGGATCTGATGGCATTTCAAGTCTCCACTGGCTAACTCTGGAGAGAAGCAATGCACCCAACGTCAAAAATCAAGACTGCATCTCTGAAATTCTCCAAGGGGGAAAATAATCTCTCTGTCTTTTGTAGCAAACTTTCACACTGCAGTTTAAACAGAAAAATAAAGTGAATGCTGTGTAGGAGAACGTACCATAATCTGATTCCATCAAAACACTACGTTCGGATAATGTTAAAAAGATCCAACAGAAGCCCTCAAAAATCCAGTGTTGTTCTGTAGCCCATACTCAGCCTCTGAAGGTGGAAAATAAGTGGAAGGCCACATGATCACTCCACAGCCAGTGCAGGACTGTTTTAATTCAGAGCATGGTCTTGTGTGCACATGAGCTGAATAGAATATCTCAAACTATGTCCTTCTTCCATCACATCCCGCAACATTGCATCCATAATCCCTTACTTGCAAGTGTGTGTGCAGGTAAAGCAAGCTTTCCCCATCCAGCTGAGCTAACAACCTCATCCAAGACCTTCACAACAATCAGAACCATGTTAGATTGGGTCCTTCCCTGAAGATTTGATTGTCTAACACACAGTATAGCAATTGGCAAAACTGAAATGGAAAAGGAGGAGGAAATACTCAATGGATAGAGA